CCATTATGCTGACTGCTGGCCCCATTCCTGCATGGGTTTGAACCATTTACTGTCATTCTTGTTTGTGCTTTACACTGTACATTTAGTAACACCTGGGCAGTTTGTAGTGAGGGGAATACCCAGAAATACCTGTGTTCGAGTAAGGCATTTTATGTCTTCTGACGGAGTGACTTTGACCATTGTGGAAAAGGAGGGCTGTTTCTGAAATTTTCCATAGTAGATATCATCTGTTCCGACAATAGGTCTGGGTTATTCAAACCTGATCATCTCTGCCCGGCTCTCTCTCCTTCAGCAACACTTTAAGAGGTCAATGTATAGGTTCTGTGAAGTGCTTTAGAATTTTCTTGCTGTTTATGTTTTGGTAGACAAAAATAAAATCCTAATAATCATCTAACTCTTCAGTGTTAATCTGTAATTAATTACATAGTATTGTAGTTAAGTCTGGGACTGGCGGGTGGCATGTTGTTTAGGCACTAGACTCCCACATGCCTGGACACGGTTCAAGTCCCAGACCTGGTGGCTTGGTTTCTCACTTTCCCTCTCTCTTTCTCTCTGGTGAGCACACATGCCCTATAGTAAATTAAAGAACAATAATAATAATAAATTTTAAAATAAGTTAAATTATTATTAAAAAGTTGTTATTAAGTCTGTTTCCAGTTTAGCAGTATGTTATCATAATGACTTAGGATTTGGCGAATAGTTCAAATAAAGTCTGTAGATTTTCTGTATATGCATTAGGTATCAAAACATTCTGTCTTTAGTCACTCTCCCAGTGGTTTTCACTGGAAAATAATGATCAAGAAATATGCTAAAAAGTACATGAAAAAATTTCTGACAAGCACACGTGCCCTTTGGCAAAAACCTAAAAACAATCTTTTTTTTTTTTTTTTTTTTTTCTTTTATTTCAAGGTGAAGTTTTGCTTTTGTGAAATTATTTCAAGGAGAGTTTTGCCTTTGTTAATACTTAATACTTTGTGGGCAATAATTCTCTCATACAAGCCTTGAAAGAATGTAACTCAGTGGGTCAGCAGGACTTTTGATCGCGGTAACATACTTAATATATGCTTTGAGCGCCCCCTTCCTGCTCTGCGCCACTCCCTGGAGTGACAGATAAAATAGAAAACTGGCCCAGCTGCAGTGGCCCGGTGGGAAGACAGCATGCGCCATCCTGGAGCTGCGCAGCAGTCCTGCTGTGACCTGAGCACACTGTGCAGGCGGGCCAAGCTCCAGGATCCTGGCTAGCTGGAAGGCTGGGGGTGACCAGGTCCTGTCGGGGATCCCTGTCTCTGTCTTTTTCTCTCTCTGTGTATCTTTCTGTCTCACACATGAAAGAAATGAACTTTTTAAAGAGAAAATTGAATTAGACAAGATATGCTATAGCCAAGAAATGGAGCAGACACTTCCAAGCTCTGAGTCTCAGGCAGCGGCAGCCAGAAGCGGGGCTTGTCTGGGGGGCCAGGTCAGCAAGTGTGACATGACTAGCTAGGTCCTGGCCGGACTCACGATTTAAACTGCCTCCCTCCCCGTAAAGGAGGCTGGAAATGGCCGATTCTAGTTGCTGCCTGATGCTGTGTCTCAGCCTCCTGGTGGGCGGCGAGAAGAAGATGGAGAAGTGAAGTTTGCCACGTGCTGGCTTAGAGACCAGATCGAGGGGTAGGGACTTCAAAGCGGCATTGCGAAATGAGATTCTGGAACGAAGATTCTCATTAAGCTCAGAGCATGAGCATGAATAGGAGAGTCCTGTCCTGTTCAGAGTAAGATGGCAGATTCTTAAACTTAAAAATACATGAATCGGACCAGCACATGGCATAGTGGTTACGTTGCCGGACTCCCACATGGTCAACTGTGGTTCAAGTCCTGAACCCAACGATATAAAACTCACGCCGGGTGCGTGTGTGTGCCCAAAACGCCAAGAGGAGAATGGAAGAGAAGGGACTGTGGCGTGGCCATCCCCTCTAGGGGATGATTTCTCGCTCACTCTCTGTCCTATCGGTTCAGTGAGTGCATGCACCCTACAGCAAAAATCTCTCTTAAAAAAAAAAATACATGAGTAGGGACTAGTCGATGGCATAATGGTTATGTCACTGGTCTCCCATGTTGACAACTGTAGTTTGAGTCCTGGACCTGGTGGCTTAAAACTTAAACTGGGTCATGTGCATGCCTGTCCAGAATCCCTAGAGGAGAATGGAGGAGAAGGGATTGCGGTATGGCCATCCCCCCGGGGGGTGATTTCTCACTTTCTGTCTCTCTGTCTCTCTCTGTCTGTCTGGTGAGCGCATGCGCCCTATAGCAAAAACCTCTCAAAAAAACCAAAAAAAAAACAAAAACCTGGAGGCAGCATAGGAAGGCGGCTGAGAGTGTAAACTAATTGGAATGACGGGTTCCCACCCTAACTGCATCCATGTTCAAAATTACTAGCTGTGTGACTCTGGGGGAAGTTGTAATCTTCCTTGCCTCAGATTTCTCATAACATAAAGAGAATAGTACTTAGAGTGCTTTCTGAGGATTAAATGAAATACACATTAAACATACAGGACAATTCATAGCACGTGGTAAATGCTTAGTAGTTTATAAAGTCGGAAACATTGTATTCTTGAATGAGGATATGAATGTAGTGCAGGGAAATGTTTTAAACGCGGATTGTATTTATTTGTTTCAGGTTTCTGCCATAGGGCACATACGCTTGCCAGAGAGAGAGAGAGAGAGAGAGAGAGAGAGAGAGAGAGAGAGAGAAGGAAAGCAAGAAGTCACCCCAGAAGGAGTGGTCATGTTGTATTCCCTTCTCTGTTCTCCTCTTGGGGTTTGGAGCATGCATGTAGAGGCACCTGCTGGGTCTGAGATTCCAGCTGTGTTCAACCACGTGGGAAACCAGCACCTTAACCAGGCCACCTGCTGGCCCAAGGGTGAAATTTTTATGACAATATTTGATACATATATATTTAAGGAATGTTTATGTATGTGTAAGTTAGGAAACATAATACAATCAATACCTTGGAATTTACCAGTTTATTTGATGTATGTTTCTGGTTCATTAATTTTTATGGAAACGATTATAGCACATCTTGTTAAGGATCGTTGAAAGAACTGAACTGTTACATGTACAGTATCGTAGCACACAGTAAGGGCTCAGTAAAAGCCGTTGTTGGGCCAGTAGGTGGCATAGAGGTTAAGGCGCAGGATCCTACATAGCCGATTGTGAGGTTCGAGTCCTGGTCCTGGTGTCTTGAAAGTCACATTGGGCATGTGTGCATGCATGCTCACAATCCTGAGAGGAGACTAGGAGAAAGGATTGTGGTGTGGCCAACCCCCAGGGGGTAATTTCTCACCCTCTCTCTTTCTCTCTACTGAGTGCACATGCCCTAGAGCAAAATATAAAAAAATTAATTTAGCCATTGTTATGTTTATTAGCCATTGTTGTGTGAAGCATATGACTATACAATGCTTGTATATCTGTTCTCTTGCTGGTAAATATCTCAGTTGTTTCCTGTTCGTAATAATCGAGGAGAGCGCTGCTCTGGACACTCGTGTTTCTCTCTCCTTGTGCCCTTGTGCCAGGGTTTCTTGGAGCCAGATGTACTGACCTAGAAGAATGGCTGGGTCACAGGTTATGCTTGTGTGCACCTGTGTTAGAAGGTGCCAGCTTGCTTACCACAGTGGTTGGACCCATTTATGAGAAATACACTGGCGATGTGGTGTGTGCATTCACATTACTCCTTGCCCTGCCGGCATCAGGTGGTGACATACTTCCATTTCTCCGCAATTGGGATGGTTGTAAAATGGCGTGTTGTAGTTTCATTTGGTTCTGTTAATAATGAGGCAGGCATCTTTTCATATGCTTATTGGTCATTTATATTCCCTTTTCTGTGTAAGTTATCTCTTTTTTTGTTTTTCCTAACGGTTTATCTTTTTCTTACTGATCTGGAAAGGAATTCTTTAAATATTCTAAATAATTGTTTTTTATTCTGTTTATTGCAAATATCTTCTCCCAGTTTAGAGCTTTTCTTTTCTTTTCTTTTTTTTGAGAGGATTTTCCGATAGGGCCTGTGCGCTCGCCAGAAAGACAGAGAGACAGAAAGCGAGAAATCACCCCCCAGGGGGAATGGCCATGTCGCAATCCCTTCTCCTCCATTCTCCTCTCGGGATCTTGAGCATGCACGCACATACGTGAGTTTAAGCCACCGAGTCTAAGACTTGAACCATGGGAGTCCAGTGACATAGCCATTAACGCCAACTACTGGTCCCTCTCTTTTCTTTCTTTAAGGTTAGCCATTACGCCAACTACTGGTCCCTCTTTTTTCTTTCTTTAAGGGTTGCTTGTATGAGCAGATGTTGTGAATTTTAATTTAGCAGAATTTATCCATTTTTCTTTGTGTTTCTGTCCTGTTTAAGAAATGTTTCTCTACCATACAAACATTACATATTGTCTGTTATGAGGCATGTAAATTAATGCCTTAGCATTTAAGTAATTAATCAACATGGAATTGTTTTTTATGTATGGTAGGAGGTAAATTCCAATTGGACTTTTTTTTTTTTTAAGTTTTGTTATAGGGCACATGTGCTCACCAGAGAGAGAGAGAGAAAGTGAGAAAGCAGGCCACCAAGTATGGAAATTGAACCAGGGTTGGCTATGTGGGAGTCTAGCACCTTAACCACCATACCACATGCTGTTCCTTCCTGCTGTGTTTTCAAGCCACCGGGTCTAAGCTTCAAACCACACGGCTAGCCTTGGGGAGATCCAGCCGCATTAAGATCCACACCACATGCTGGCCCCTAAATGCTATTTCTTTAACTCCTGAAATTATTATGTAGTTTTTCTCTGTAAACAGTGGAGAGAATTAAATAGTTTTTGTAATATTTAACTACTCTTGCATTTTTAGGAGAAACCCAACATTGTTTGTTACATATTTTTTTCTACATTGCTAAAGTTGGCTGATGTTAAATTAGTTTATAGTTTGTATGAAAGCTGCTAAATGTTAACCTGTCTTCAATAAACTTTACAGCAGAAAATATCGGTGCAGAACTCAAAGCTCCACTTAAGCAAGATCCTCTCCAAGTAAGAGGTGAGTATATTTTATTCTGTTTTATTACAGTGATATTTTGAATTAAATATAAAACTTAGTTTATATGGACCTCTAGTTTTCTTTTAAAGAATTATTTTATTTAACTTTATTTATGTATTTATTTAATTTTTTGACCAGAGCAGAGAAGGACAGAATGAGAGTGAGAGAGAGAGGAAGAAAATGAGAAAGCAAGCTGCAGGGTCCGGGACTCGAACCGCAGTCAGCCATGTGGGAGTCCAGCATCCTTAACCACCACACTACCTGCCGGCCCCCATTTTTAGTTTTATTTGAATAGATAGACCATAGGGTTTATTTTCCTGTTTGCAAGCTAATTTTCCACGGAAATTTATTTTGCATTTTGGTCACACATTTTTTTTTTTCTCGAAAATTTAAAGGAGTAATGGTGAATAAAAATGATCAATTGCTTTATTGTTGTTTTGAAAAGTAATGTGATTCAGGAATAAGGGGCAGCACCTTGAGGCTGCAGCTCACTCAAGTCCAGGTAGGAACCGGCCCTTGTTGTCTGACCCCTTCCCCAGGAGGATGAGCCCTGCAGGGATGTCCATCTGCCGCTGCTTTGTGGAACAGGCAGCGATCCCATCTCCAGAGCAGCCGTCCACTGCAGTAACTCCGTCAAAACTGGGTTCAGTTTGTGGGTCCGGACCTCGGGCTGTTTATTTGATTTCTCTGAGATTTAGTTTTCTACTCTGTAATATAGGGCTGAAAATGAGACCCCTGTTGTTTTGTTTTTTAAGCTTTTTTTCGTTCATTCATTTATTTATTTTTACCATAGGGCACTTGTGCTTGCCAGAGAATGACAGACAACAGGAAAAATGAAAAATCACTCCCCCGGTGAGATGGTTATGCCACAATCCCTTTTCCTCCATTCTCCGCCTGGGATTTTGAGCATGCACTCATATGCACCTGGTGTGATTTTCAAGCTACCAGGTCCAAGACTCGAGCCATGGTCGGCCATGTAGGAGTCCAGTGTCTTAACCACCACACCACCTGCCGGTGCACTAAAAACAGTTTTTTAAAAGAGAGATGTGGTGCTCTTCTCTGTTCTTGAGGAACTTATATTGATTTTGAGTTTTAGGGTTATTGGAGTAAGGTAGTTTGGAGACCCTAAATTCATACAAAAATAAAAATCAGATTGAACTTTTTTTTTTGGAGAGGTTTTTTGCTATGGGACGCGTGTACTCGCCAGAGAGACAGAAAGCGAGAAATCACCCCCTAGGGGGCTTGGCCATGCCGCAATCCCTTCTCCTCCATTCTCCTCTCGGGATCTTGGGCACGCACGCACACACACCCAGCATGAGTTTAAGCCACCGGGTCTGGGACGTGAACCGCAGTCGGCTACATGGGAGTCCAGCGACATAGCCATTACACTAACTGCTGGTCCCCGAGATTGAACTTTCTTATATACTCCTTTCAGATAAGGTTTTGATTTTTATATTGAACTTTAGTTTTGAAGTATTTTTATTAAGTAACATTTGTGCACCCAATTTTAGTAGTTAGTGTGTTATTTTAGGAGGTTTCATGTACTAGAATAGTCCCACTGTAGTGATAGATAATTTTAGGCTTCAACTTGGAAGTAAACAGAAAACGAATTAGTGTGTATGGGGGGAAGGAGTAGAGCGATGTTAGTTAATAGACGACAAGTTCCAGATAGATAAGCAGAGTGAGTTCTGTTAGTAGCAGCAGTGTAGGATAACTATAATGAGCAGTAATGAAGTATTTCAGGAGAGCTACAAGAGAAATTTGAATGTTCGTAGCATAAAGTACTGATAAATGTTGGAGATGATGGATATGCTGATACCCTGATTTGATCATTACACATCATATTCCTGCAGTGAAGAACTACAGTGTACCCATAAATACATAGTTTATATATTTCTATTATAAATGTATTTATAATTATGTGTCAATTAAAATTTAAAAAGAGGAATATTAGAACAGAATGTAAAGAGAATAGGTGACAGTTTGAAACAGGAGACTTTGGTTTCTCTTATTTTGCTCTTACTTTTCAGATATTTATTTATCTCTAGCATGTGGCCAGAAGTCTCACTTTGTAATAATTGATTAACCTAGAACAATGTTGTGTAATTTTTAACTCACAAATGTAGTTGATACCTAACCGATATTTTATTGTTGCTGTCTCTGACCGTTTTTTTAAAGAATTATTTAATTTTATTTATTATTATTATTATTATTACTGTTATTAATTTGGCCAGAGAGAGAGTAGGGGAAAGTGAGAAAGCGAGTCTCCAGTTTTGGGACTCAGACTGTAGTCATCCATGTGGGAGGCCAGAGCCTTAATCATCATGCCACCTGCCAGCCCCCAGTGTCTCTGGCCTTTTAATGAGCACTTTGATACTTGAGAATAAGAAAATAATTTAGTAGAAGGCATATCTTAATTATAATCAACCTTTTATATACATATATATACATATTTTTGAGTGATTTTTGCTATAGGGCACATGTGCTCACTAGAGAGACAGAGAGAGACAGAAAGCGAGAAATCATCCCCCAAGGAGGATGGCCACACCGTAATTCCTTCTCCTCCAGTCTCCTCTTGAGATTTTGGGTACATGGGTATGTGACCAGAGTGACTTAAAGCCACCGGGTCCTGGACTCAAACCAAGGTCTACTACATGGCAATCCAGCAACATAGCCATTACACAGTCTGCTGGTCCCATCTTCCTATAATTCTTTTTAATATATATATTTTTATTTTATTCATTCATTCATTTTTAATTTGACAGAGAGAGACATAGAGAGAGAGAGAGAAAGTGAGAAAGCAAGCCACCGGGTCTGGGACTCGAACTGTGGTCAGTCACGGAGTTTCCAGCACCTTAACCACCATGCCACCTGCTGGTCCCTCTTCCTATAATTTTTAACTGATAAAATTATTTCTTAGTTTACTTTCAGTTTTACATGAAATAGTACAGTGGCTTTAAACTCTTTAACTTTCAACCCATGTATAAAATACTACTTAACATCATTTTATACTATTTAATACTATTATAGCTATTATACATATTGATTATTTTATATATATATTAAAGAAAAGTTTTCACAGAAAGCGCTTTTCTTATATGCAGTACTCTTTCTTTCTATTGAATCGTCGGAAAAGTCATGACACCTTTTTGCATAGAAAAACATAGAAAGATACATCATGACCTTTCTGATGACCCAGTATTTTCACTTTTTACTTATTTATTTTTTGCACCTGTGCTCACTGGAGAGACGAGAGAGAACGTGAGGAATCATGCCCCTCAAGAGGAATGGCCATGCTGCGGTCCCTTCTCTATTGTATGCTCCCACGTGCACATGCCTGACGTGAGTTTCAGGTCACCAGATCTGGGACTCGAACCGCAGTAAGCCATGTGGGAGTTGGTGCCTTAACTACTACACCACCTGCTGGCTCCTGTTTTTACATTTTACACAGTGCTGGTTTTACCCTGAGGTTTGAAAACCACTGAACTAGCCTGTAATATTTCATTGACACTTTGGTTGATTTTTCAGTTTGACCATAAGGAATTTAAATTGTATTAATATGACTTAGACCAGTAAAACCTATACAGGGTGTCCACTGGACAAAGGATTGGCATTTGGGAATCAGTTATTGATGAGCTATGGAGATAAAAGTTACGTGGCCACAAATGCGAATACATCCTATTCCATACGTAGAGAATTTTCTTTTTCTGATGCCGGTCAGTGCATCAGAAAAAAAGATCAGTTTTCTATGGAATTTATTAGTGAGCCCATTTAAAGATCAACTAAGGGGCCAGTATGTGGCGTGGTGGTTAAGGGCACTGGACTCCCACATGGTCTACCACAGGTCAAGTCCTGGACCTGGTGGCTTGCTTTCTCACTTTCCCTCATTCTCTCACTGTGTCCCTCTCTGGTCAAACAAAAATACATACATACATACATACATAAGTAAATAAGTTAGATAAAGTAATTCTTTAAAAATACACGTGTCAACTAGAATGTGACTGTTAGTGTGCATATTTATTACGTTTTCCTGTGTTTCTGCTTTAGTCAAAGCCGTCCTTAAGAAACGAGACTATGGGTCAAAGTACACTCAGAACAATTTCATCACTGGAGTCAGAGCGATAAATGAGTTCTGTCTTAAATCCAGGTACAGTCATTTTTAAAACTTGTCTAAATAACTGTCTAAATAACTGTTTCTTAAAATAAATAACCTGCTTAAAAAAAAATAGATACCTGCTACTGTCCATATGTGGAAAATTTCCTACTGGCTTCTTAAATTGAAGAAACTTTTTGTTCTTTAGATTTTTGCCATAGAGTATGTGCGCTCAGCTAGAAACAGAGAAGACAGTAAGAGGGAATGTGGGAAATGACCCCTTTGGGGGCATGGCCATGCCACGATCCTTTCTTCTCCATCCTTCTGGGATTTTGGGCGTGCACATCCGTCACGGTTTTTAAGCCGCCAGGTCCAGGATTCACACCACAGTCAGCCACGTGGGGGTCCAGCGCTGTATCACCATGGTACCCGCTCATCCCGAAGAGATATTTTTATTCAGTCAACAGCATTAAAACTGGCCAGCTACGGTGATGCAGTGGTAATACGACACTCTTGAAAGATGCCGAAGCCTGGGCCAGCCTGTGGTGTGATTAAGGTGACTGGATCCCTTGTGTCCAGCTCTGCAGTTCGAGTCTGGACCCTGTGGCCTGAAACCATGCTAGGCTCATGTGTGTGCTCATGCCTAAATTCCCGAAAGGAGAAAGGCAAAGGAGAAGGAACCGTGCTGTGGCCATTCTAATGGGAGGCACTCCCCACTCGCCTGCTGCACTGTGGCAAGCACACGTGCCTGTCGGAAGATGAGTTAATAGAGAAAGGAGGTGCTGAAGCCCTGCAGAAAGGTTCTGGGTGCACATCTTATGTCGGCTCTGTTTGGTACTCTTTGTATTTCTTGGATTTGGTTGTCTGTATGTTTTCCTGGATTTGGAGAGCTTTTAGGTAATATTTCATAAAGAAGAGTTTCACGCCTTTACCCGTCTCTTCACCGTCTGGAAAACACAGTATGTGGCTACCCAGCCACTTAATGATGTCTAGGATTTCCCACATATTGTCCTCATTGTTAATTGTGATTTCTCCTTTGTTTGGTGACTTACACTAGATCAGAGGTTTTGTCTTCAAGGTTGGAGATTCTTTCTTCTGTATAGTCTAATACACTATTGATATTTTTTGAGGGAGTTTTTTTTTTTTTTTTTTAAATAATTGTATTTAGTTTTATTTATTTATTTATTTTAAATTTTACCAGAGAAGGACAGAGAAAGAGAGATAGAGAGAGAAAGTGAGAAAGCAAGCTTCCAGGTCTGGGACTTGATCGACCATGTGGGAGTCCAGCACGCTTAACCACCATGCCTTCTGCCAGCTCCTGAGGGAGGTTTTGATTCCCTCTACTTATGTTCTTCATCTACAGGAATTCTGTGTGATTCTTTTTGGGGGTTTCTATCTCCTTATGTAGTCGTTACTTCAAGTTATGGATCTTTTTTTTTTTGGAGAGGTTTTTGCTTTTGGACGCGTGTGCTCGCCAGACAGACAGAGAGAGACAGAGAGACAGAAAGCGAGAAATCACCCCCCAGGGGCGTGGCCATGCCGCAATCCCTTCTCCTCCTTTCTCCTCTCGGAATCTTGGGCATGCACACACACGCGCCCAGCATGAGTTTTAAGCCACCGGGTCCGGGACTTGAACCGCGGTCAACTACGTGGGAATTCAGCGACATAGCCATTATGCTAACTGCTGGTCCCAAGCTGTGGATTTTCTCATCCCTTGGAATTGGTTAACCCTTTTCTTTGCATCTCACTCAGTTTTGTTACCATGAATATTTTCAATTCTGTTTCTGACATTTCTGTGATTTCTTGTTATTCCCATTGTTGGTGGGGAGTTACTGTGTTCTTTGAGGAAGCTATGCTGCCTGGTTTTCTCATACTCCTGGAAGCTTTGCTTTGGTTTTTAGACTCTGGGTGGAGTACTTACTTGTTTATGATTTTGTGGATAGCATTCTGCTACTGTATACTCCGGGGCTTCCCTATGGTGTTTGCTAACTCTGAGTTAGTTTCCCTGTCCTGAGGCGGGAGTGCTGGAATCCATGGTAGGAGTTTTGAAGTTGGAAATTTTAGATGAGTTTTTCCTTTTTCTACTAGAAGAGGAAGTGAGGGAGAATTCCTTCAGAGACACAGTATCTTTAGGTAATTTATTCCTTTCTCAAACCCTTTGGCCTCGATGAGACTGTGGGCTGAGCTGGGAAAGCAAAACGTGAGGTCGCAGCACACGACGTGAGCTGTGTGTGGCTGCAGTCCTGGTTGCAGACAGTATAGACAGCTCCTACCTTGCTCTGGCGAGTCAGAGGGTGGGGAGTGTGAGGCCTGTGACGTAAACGGCTGGATGGAAAGTCTCCTCTTTTCCATCTCTGATGAGACTGGCGTGAGGTGGGGCAGTGAGTGAAGCCTTGCTGCTTTTTATTTGGCTAGCAAAGTGGAGTACATGGGGACCAGCGGGTGGCATGGTAGTAAAGGCACTGAATCTCACATGGCTGGATCTGTGGTTCAAGTCTCAGACCCGGTGTCTAGAGAAACATCTGAGCACGTGTACATGTGTGCTCAGCATCCCAGGAGGAGGATGGAGAAGGGATTGTGGCATGGCCATCCCCATTAGGGAGTGATTTCTCGTATTCCCTCTCTCACTGTCTCTCTCTCTCCATAGAGTGCACAATCTTGAAAAAAAAACCTGAATACTTAATTTAGAGTGAGTTATGTGTATGTTCTAACTCTAGCTATTGCTTGGTTTCTGTTAAGCATAATTTTTAAAAATTTCATTATGGTTGGTATATTTTTCATAGTCATGGAGGTTTATCGAAATGATATTTATCACAAATTGAAACTGCTACCTTCTTTGTGGGACATTTAGAGAAATCGGGTGACCTAGCCTTTTTTTTTCCTTCCCTCACATACATATTCTCTGTGGTACAGCATCAAGCAGTATAAAGTCATTTCTTAAAGTTTGTGGGAAAAAAATCAGAAATTATGAGTTTAGGTACATACACTTTTTTTTCTTTTTTTTTAATCATTTATTTATTTATGTTTACATTTTCCCACATTTACTTTACATATCAAAAAATTTTTGCTCATACTCCATAGTTCTTTTTTTGGAGAGATTTTCACTGTAGGACGCGTGCGCTCGCCAGACAGACAGAGAGAGACATAGAGACAGAAAGCGAGAAATCACCCCCCAGGGGGGATGGTCACGCCGCAATCCCTTCTCCTCCATTCTCCTCTCGGGATCTTGGGCACGCACGCACATGCGCCCAGCGTGAGTTTTAAGCCACCGGGTCCGGGACACGAACTGCGGTCGACTACGTGGGAGTCCAGCGACATAGCCATTACGCTAACTGCTGGTTCCCATACTCCATAGTTCTTGACAGTTACTAAACAACTTTCAAAATTCAAAAACTGAATTTTAAAGATAATGTTCAAAATATTTTTTATAATTTTGTTTGTGACTCTATAACAACAGAGGCAGTATGGTTTTGAATATTTTTGAGAAAATATTTATATGTCGACTACTCAAACTGTTGAAAAGCAAACGCTCAGCACACAAGTCACACATGAACCTTCTCAATTCAGCCCTGCCGACCGGGTATTCTGAGATATACTGTCTGCTAGCAAAGATCTGTCTCTTTTTCTTCCTTCGAAGTCTTCCTCCGGATAATCCTCTGGTTGTGGTTGCTCTTTTGGAAACTCTACTGATAACAATGCTGGGCTGGAAAGGTCCAGGTTATTTTATGGAACCAATTCTTTCATATGGCTTCTCTAATCCTCTCTGCCAGGCAGAGCTGTTTATGGTGCCAGGCCATCTTTCCAAGAGCTTCTGTTGGCTTTCTTGAGATCCACCTTAGTTTTCTGATTCATCGTCATGTATGACATTCTAGTCAAAGCCCTATCCAATAATGAGTATTTCCAATTTTTGATTCAATGCAATAGGTATTATTGAACTTATGCAAATACCTCTTTTGGATCAAAATAAGAATACTCCCAAATATTTTCCAATTCCAGAGGGGTCAGGAAGGAAGAAAAATTAATTTTTTCATTTAAAGAAACAAATAAGAAAAATATTTTAATTGTTGAACCTATCAACAGCTCAAGAGAAAGCAAAATCCTTAAATTAAGAAAACGAAGCATAGTTAAAAAAAAAATCAATAATGTTTTACTCAAAAGTCAATAAATTCCATTTCACCAGTTCAGTTTATGTTCAATCTCTCTTCTGTTGAACTTGCTGTGTTACCGTGGTCCAATCTTTCCATTTAAATCCTGGAAGTTGACATTCAGTGTTACTGTTGATATTTCTTGTCCCTAGCATTAAGTTGGCCATTTTCTTGGTTGCTTTTTGTTCTCTTATTTCTGTATGTGTGTCTTCAGTCTGGTCTTGGCAGATTCTTTCAGGTCTTGTTTATCTGAGAGTGTTTTTATGCATTCTTTCCATATGAACGATAATCTTGCTAGGTATAGTATTCTTGGTTGAAACTGTTTCTTAACACTTTCAATACATTTTCCCATTCTTTCCTTGCTTGCATTGTATCTGATGAGAGGTCTGAGGTTAACCTGATGGGATAACCTTTATAAGTAACCTGATATTTCTCTCTTGCCAATTTTTTAGTATCTTGTCTCTGTGCTTTTGGCAATCTGGCTATGGTGTGCCTTGGAGAAGATCTTTTTGGGTTGTTTCTTTGTGGGGTCCTTTGCATTTTTTGGATCTGGATAGTTTAATGCCTCTAGATTTGTAAAATTTTCTTCCAGGATTTCATGGAATAGATTATCGATACCCTCACTAGTTTCCTCACCTTCTGGGATACCGATTATCTGGGTGTTTGGGTGCTTAATGGTGTCTAGTATTTCTCATATAGTATTCTCATTTTTAGGGTTATTTCTTTATTTATTTTTGGTTATTTTTTTTCTAGATCAAAGGTTTTGCCTTCCACATCTGAGATTGAATATTCTGCATGCACTAGTCTGCTCTTAACCCTTTCGAAGGAGGTTTTGATTTCGTGAATTGCATCCTTCATCTCTAATAGCTCCATTTGATTATTTTTTATGGTGTGTATTTCCTCTTTCTGATCATGCAAGAACTTCCTCACCGCCTGGAACTCATGGTCTCTCTTCTCCTGAATCTTCTGGAATTCATTGTCTCTCAGCTCTTGCATTTCACTTAGGTTTTTCATTTATGTATTTATTTATTTATTTGAGAGGTTTTTGCTATAGGACGTGTACGCCCACCAGACAGACAGAGACAGAGAGACAGAAAGCAAGAAATCACCCCCCAGGGGGGGATGGCCACGCCGCAATCCCTTTTCCTCCATTCTCCTCTTGGGATCTTGGGCACGCACGCACATGCACCCGGCGTGAGTTTAAGCTACCAGGTCTGGGACTCGAACCATTGTCGACTACGTGGGAGTCCAATGACATAGCCATTACACTAACTGCTGGTCCCTATTTTTTTTTTTAGAGATTATTGCTATAGGTCTTTTTCATTGCTCTTACAAAATTTATTTACACAGACTGTGATTAAATACAGAATTACTATTTATTTAGCAATGACTTGATGAATATGTATACACTTTACAGAATTTAGGAGAAAGAAAAATAAGTAAATAACTATGTAATTGATACATATTCTTTGACCTGATACCTTTGGATGGATATTACCTTTTAGTATTAATCTAGATGTAAACAAATAGGACTTTAAAGTTCTAATTTAAGCGTGTAAATAAAAGGTGATACTTTTTTCTCATGCCAGGTATATGTGCATGTTTGCCCAAAACACCAAGAGAGTGGAAGAGGAGGGATTGCTGCATGGCCATCTCCCCTGGGGGTTGATTTCATGCTTTCCGTTTTTCTTTCTCTCTCTCCAGCAAGCGTACACACCCGATGGCAAAAATCTCTTTTAAAAAAAAGATAGTTTTTAAAAGACTTACTCATTTATTTAATTTTATTTGTTATTATTATTTTTAAAATTTAACCAGAGAGAGAGAAAGAAACGAAAAGTGAGAAAGCAAGCTGCCACGTCTGGGACTTGAACCACACTTAGCCATGTGGGACTCCAGCGCCTTAACCACCATGCCACCTGCTGGCCTCATAGATGATACTCTTACATGTGCTTTCCACTTTTTGCTTTTTTTGGTCATACCTTAAAGATGGCAGTGAGTGTCCATAGTAGAGAAAGTAAAAGCATCACTAAGATAATCGAATCTCTAAGCATTATGTTATATTATGAATCTCTAAGTATTATACTATGAGCATCAAGAATAATTCCTTTTCACTGTCTAGACCATTTTTTAATATAAAAAAAGCTATTGAGATCTGTCTTTTTTGAGAATTGATGCAGTTGCTTTAACTCGATGTGATTAATCCTTTTGAAGTACATCAAGTGTATGCGCCGTGTCTGAATAAATTCAGCGTGTTTCTTTGTCCAGTGATTTAGAACAGCTTCGAAAAATCAGACGACGGAGTCCTCACGAAGACACCGAGTCCTTCACTGTCTACCTGCGGTCCGACGTGGAGGCAAAGTAAGGACCCTGCTCTTAGAGAGGGAGAGCAGACCCCAGTGGGGATTCATAGAGCAACACATTTTAGACGGACTCAGAATGGTTTAAATTGTACATTTGGAAACCAGTAATTTGGTATTGATGAATTTGCTTATCTGAGAGTTACTGGTATATACTGGTTAACTAAATATATTTCAGAATTTAGAAAAATTTTTCTATTGAATTTTCTCTTGTAGTTTAGATTTAACTTAGAGGTGCTCCTTGGGTGCTTTACATGATTATTTTCTGAGGGAATCTATGTTTCACTGTAAGGGGTGTGTGTGTGTGTGTGTGTGTGTGTGTATAATATATGTATTTCGTTTAGGTTTAAATATGACTACAATAAAGTTAGTAAAAATTGTTCATTGGTGATGATCATGTATGTATGCACAGATCCTTAGAAGTTTGGGGGAGTCCTGAAGCTCTTGCCAGAGAGAAAAAACTGCGTAAGGAAGCAGAAATAGAATATAGAGAACGTAAGTATATTCAACTTACAGCTGAATTAATTGAAAAGTAAATTGTAAAAAAAGAAAGAAAGGGACCAGCAGTTAGCGTAATGTCTACATTGCTGGACTCCCATTCGTCGACCACAGTTTGAGTCCTGGACCTGGTGGCTTAAACTCACGCCGGGCGCGTGTGCGTGCCCAAGATCCTGAGAGGAGAATGGAGGAGAAGGGATTGCTGCGTGACCATACTCCCTGGGGTGTGATTTCTTGCTTTCTGTTTCTCTGTCTTTCTGGCGAGCGCACGTGCCCTATAGCAAAAACCTCTCGAAAAGGAAAAAGAAAGAAAAGTAAATTGTAGATACTGGAATGGGGGTTGGATCCCTATTGGAAATACTTGTCTTTATTGAGGGTACCTGTCTTTTTTTAAAAAAAAAATTGTTTTTTTTTTTTAACTTTATTTGTTTATCTTAATTTGGCCAGAGAGGGACAGAGTGAGAGAAAGAGAGGGAAAGTGAGAAAGCAAGCCGCCAGGTCTGAGACTTGAACCGTGGTCAGCCATGTGGGAGTCCAGCACCCTTAACTACCATGCCACTTGCTGGCCCTGGTACCTGTCCCTCTTAGGAAAGAGAAGTGCGCTGTCATTCAGAAAGACCATGTGTAATAGGGTGGCAGCTGTGCACACTCTAGTGCTTGCACACTTGGTGGCTTTGGCACTGTTCTGTTCCCAGCAGTGCACAAGGATTCCAGTGCCCATCCTTGCCAGTGCTTGTTAGTTGTGGACTTTGCTTTGCTTTATTTTTATAATAGCCACTCTAATGGGAATGAGATGATTTTCATAGTGTTTTGTTTCTGTTTCTCCTGCGATTAGTGATATTGAGCATCTTTTCAATGCTTGTGCCAACAAGCATTGAAAAGATTTGTGGGGAATGTCTCTTGAAGCTTTTTGCCTATCTTGAAATTTGGCTGCAAATCCAGATCTCTTACAGTAACTTGGTATTTTTGCTGGTTGTTAGTATTTAACATAGTCTTAAAGAGAATAACTGTATTAGTCTACACTGTACTGGTCGGAATAAATTTATTTTGTAATTCTTACAGGGCTATTTAGGAACCAAAAAATACTAAGAGAGTATAGAGACTTCTTGGGGAACACCAAGGTAAGGATTCTTCTGCTCATGTGTGTGTCTGTGTTGCAGGGCAAAAATCCTAACATTAGTCCATTGAGAAATCTTAGTGTGTCTGATCTCATTTCAAGATTCTCTGTGTGCATTGTGCTTTACCGAATTTTACAGTCTGTTTCTATTTGTTTCCATCTTATTTTCTTGAAAGTTTTAAAATTGGGGCATAGGTTTTATTTGCGTTCTCTCATGTTATGAACCTTGTAAGCATGTACAATAGATATAGATTGGGGAGAAGACTTTATTTTCTTAACTTTTGGCAAGATTTATATTTCATAAACACCATTAATTTCCTTTATTCTCTCTCCCACTCCTAACTCTGGTGAATGTTCAGACTGCCAGCTATTTGCTTATACCTAAGAAGCTCCCCTGGCAGAGAAAATGATATCATTTTGTAAAATTGTTTTTTCTTTATTACACTTTTCTCGATGGTCTTGTCTTTACCATACGACTGTGCAAACCAGTGGGTGCTCAGTATTATCTAAGAAGTCTTACTGAACTCCCGTAGCAGGTTCACTCGCTAGTCTGCAAAATCGCTGTCTCATGCCTTTTCCACTTTGCAGATGCCCCGTAACCACTCTTTTCTTTAGCTGCTAACCTTGCTTCATGCGTCATTGAAAAAGCAGATGTAATCTGATAAAAGTAACTCTTATTGTTGTCACCAGATTCACTAACTTTTATTTATTTATTTATTCATTTATTTTAAGGTTTTAGCCACAGGGTACATGTGCTCACTGGAGAATCATAGAGAGGGAAAGTGAGAAATCATTCCCCAGGGGGCTGACCATGTCTCAGTCTCCTCATTCTCCTCCTGGGGTCTTGGCATGCACGCATGTGAGCCCAGTGTGTTTCTTTCTTTTCTTTTTTGTAACGGTCATAGAGAGAGGGCACATGCGCTCACCAGAAGGACAGAGAGACAGAAAGCGAGAAATCACCCCCCAAGGGGGATGGCCACGCTGCAATCCCTTCTCATCCATACTCCTCTTGGGATCTTGGGCATGTACGCACACGCGTAGGGCATGAATTTGAGCCACTGGGTCCAGGACTCGAACCGCGGTTGGCTACATGAGAGTTCAGGGACATAGCCATTACGCCAACTGCTGGTTCCCTTGAGCCCAGTGTATTTCAAACTGTCAGATCTGGAACTCGAACCACGGTCGGCCATGTGTGAGTCCAGTGCCTTAACCACTACGTCACCTGCCGGCTCCCATATTTACTAACTCATTTGTGCATGTGTGAAAATACTGTTTTCCTTCCTACTAGAAGGGGATTAGTATTGGGACCAGAATAGAAAATTCACCTTTAATGTCCCAGTTCTTATTCTTTTTTTCTTTTCTATTGTTTTTTCTTCAGTTTTGCTATAGCACATGTGTACTTGCCAGAGAGAAAGAAAGACAGAGAAAGTGAGAGATTACCTCTGGGGAGATGGCTATGCTACAGCCCCTTCTCCTTCATTCTCCTCTTGTAACTTTGGGCATGCATGCATGATTCCAGAGTAATTTTTCAAGACCGTCGGGTCTGGGACTTGAACTGCTCAGTCGGCCTCGTGGGATCCAGCCTTCTTAACCTTCATGCTACCTGCTAGCCCACACCTCTTATGCTGTCCCAGACCCAGTTCAGTTGGGCTTTGATCCCCACCATCCTTCTGATGAGGCTCTTACCAAAATGCCAAGCAGTCTAATATCCAGAATTCACTTTCCATTTTTAAAAAAAGAATAAACTGGGCCAGCAGGTGGCATGGTGGTTAAAGGTACCGGATTCTCACGTGGCTGACCGCAGTTCTAATCCTGGACCTGGCGGCTTGCTTTCTCACTTTCTCTCTCTCTCTCCCCCTGCTTTGTCACTGTCTGGTCAAATTGAAATAAACAAATGAGTAAATAAATAAGGTTAATAAAATCATTCTAAAAAGGAAATAAAAACATAAATTGGAGAGTGGGAGGGAGGGGCTTGGAGAAAGAAAACCATTTAACAGACATAAGAATGGAAAACCAGCTCTTGAGGATGATACGTGTGGTAATCTCTTTGATTTAATTCATATACAATGCATGCATGCTTTGAAAAACCCCATTGTATGCTGTGCAAATGTACAGTGATTAAACGTCATAAAATGTACAGTGATTGAATGTAAATTTAAAAAATATATAGACTCTGTCAAGTCTCTGCTCAAAACCATTCAGAGGCTACTTTTGGCCTTTGGAATAAGACTAAATTCCTTTCTCTAGTGTACAGGGTCCTGTGGACTGTGGCCCTGGCCCTGGCCCTGGCCTTGGCTCTTACCTTAGCACCTTCCATTTTCCTTGCCTTTTACGCTCTGCCACACCAGCCTAACTTCCACCTTTCGTTCACATTCACATCAAGGTTGTGTCTGTTCCAGCATCTTTGACCTTGATGCACGTGCGGCCCGAGATACCCTCTTTACGTAATTCCCTCTTCCTCATCGTTTGGTCTTTCCCTCTGCCTGTCCGAGCGAACGTAGCCCCCTCCGTCCCGTCTCCGCGTCTCTTTCTCAGTGCCCTCTCTGGTTTCCCTGTCGCGTTCATCACTGTGATGTGTGTGTGTTCCCCGGCCTTCTCTGCCCTCCTGTGCGGACCGAGGTGTAAGGTGGCAGGAGCTCGCCTCGTATGCTCTCGTGCCCCAGCATCAGAACTGTGCCGACATACAGTGGTCGCACAGCATGACCAAGACGAATTACACACAGCAGGAAATACAGGACTTTTAATAGAGATGTGAAGCGTCATCAGAAATTAGTGGGAGTGAGTGCTTTTGTGTGTGGTCAGGGATGGCTTTATGTTTAGAAAGGTACCACTTAGCTCGACATGACAGAGATGGGTAAAACTTACAGGTGGTAGTGGGTGATAACATTCCAGAAGAGTAACAAAGATTAAAAAAAAAAGACATGGAAGTATATATTTTAAGAAACAGCAAAAGAAAATTTAGCTCAAAAATAATTTCCCCAAATACGCTTCTCTACTTGTTTTGTTCCCCTTTGTTTTAGTCTCTCTTGAAATTAACACACCATTTTTACTTGAGGTCTTTCATCCCGAGAGTAGTCAGGACTTAAATTAGAGCAACAGACTTGCTGGCTTTGGCTGTTCCTTTTTTAAAAGTTAAAGTTGCTTCAGTGACAGAAGACTTTGTATAGATTTCAGTTTAATGCTTTTTTTTTTTTAAGGTTTTTGCTGTAGGGTGTGTGCACTCACTAGAGAGAGACAGTGAGAGGGAAAGTGCGACATCTTCCTCCTGGGGAATGTTGATGCTGCAATCCCTTCTCCATTTTCCTCTCGGGGGTTTGCGTGTGCATGCACACATGTGTACCCAGCGTGATTTTCAGGTCCCCAGGCGATTTCAGTTTAATGCTTTTTTTTTTTTAAGGTTTTTGCTGTAGGGTGTGTGCACTCACTAGAGAGAGACAGTGAGAGGGAAAGTGCGACATCTTCCTCCTGGGGAATGTTGATGCTGCAATCCCTTCTCCATTTTCCTCTCGGGGGTTTGCGTGTGCATGCACACATGTGTACCCAGAGTGATTTTCAGGTCCCCAGGCCCAGGACTTGAACCGCAGTCAGCCATGTGGGAGTCCAACGCCTTAATCACCTTGCCACCTGCTCGCCCCAGTTTAATACATTTTAATCACTTTATTACTAGTTTCTGTGTAGCCATCTCAGCTTATTAAAGTAAACAGGACATAACTAATAAGGAAAGAAAATAAACAAATAAGATTCTGGAAAAAGACCTAGAAGCACTTTTAATTTCTAGCTTTTTTTCTTTTTAAAGAGAAGATTCTGGAGAAAAAGAATTAAATTAGTAGTCCTAGTTATTCAGCGTTTTTGATAGAGGAGAAATTTTCTGGTGTGTCAGAACCACCAGCTGTAGTGCCCAAAGCACAGTGAAATATTGTGAGGTTTTCATTTTTGCTTTTTGCAGCCACGCTCCAGGACAGCATCCGTGTTCTTTAAGGGACCAGGAAAAGTGGTGATGGTTGCCATTTGCATGTAAGTACTGACAAATACGGCATTTTATATAGAAATATATTCCTCTTAAGTGTGCGTGCGTGCGCGCGTGTGCGTATGTCTGTGTGTATTACTTGGTAGCTAGCTACAGAATTAGAGGTTTATATTGTTTATGGAACAAATACCAAGTAAGTCTTTATTATCCTCAGTTAGGTGGTGCAGGAAGACTGAGTCCCGATAGCTGCCCATGCTCTGTTAGCGCTCACGCGTGTGGGACTCTGAACAGCCAGCTGAGATCGAGCCGTGCGTTCTTTAGCGTCCGGTCATCTAGGACGACCCTGAGACTGGTCTGGCTTTGTCCTCACATCCGGCATCTGCCCACTTAAGCAGCAGACCTTCATTGAAGTTTTGCTTTTGTCACTGACCTAATCGACCCCTATCTAGGGGAGATCCTCTTTCACCTACCTAAAACACAGTTGCCCTTTTAATCTCATCTTGTCCAAATATAGAACACTCTCTGTCCTCCTCCAAATGCGTGTAAGTAATTAGCTCACACACAGCATGCCTCTCCTTTTGAGTACTCAGTGGTATCAGAATCTCTATTTTTCACATTTGTACTCTTGTTCCCTAAATAGTAATGCATTCTTTCAGACTAGGAATCCTTTTTCATTTACGTTGAACAGAATCTAGAAGTATGCGAAGTCAATTGAAGAAGCTTTCCGTGGAAACTGTGATCTGAACCTGTACTGCATTGTTCTCTTTCTCCCCTAGCAATGGATTAAACTGCTTCTTTAAGTTTCTTGCCTGGATTTATACGGGCTCAGCAAGTATGTTCTCAGAAGCCATACATTCGTTATCTGACACGTGTAATCAGGTGAGGATGAAAACTTCTATAGTAATCATCTTAAAGTAGTTTCTTAGACAGTAGTCTAAAAATTGATCTGTTTAAAAACTGAGTGACTCCTCTAGTTTGCTCATGAAGAAAATGAAAGTTCTTTTACTTTAGAGCAAAGCACATAGATTTGATAGTATTTTAAAACAGGTTGTTTCCTTTAAGAACTTCCTAGAGGGAACCAGCAGTTAGTGTAATGGCTATGTCGCTGGACTCCCACATAGTCGACCGTGGTTCGTGTCCCGGACCTGGTGGCTTAAAACTCACGCCGGGCGTGTGTGCGTGCGTGCCCAAGATCCCGAGAGGAGAATGGAGGAGAAGGGATTGCGGCGTGCCCATCCCCTGGGGGTGATTTCTCGCTTTCTGTCTCTCTGTCTCTTTCTGTCTGTCTGGCGAGCACAGGTTTTCGCCCTATAGCGAAAAACCTCTCCAAAAAAAAAAAAAAAACTTCCTGGAGTGGGTGTCAGATGATTGTGCCGGTGGTAAAGCACAGTGATCTGAAGTCCGCCACACAGGAGGGTTTCAGCTTGTGTCCAGAGACCTCCCTGAGTACTCCAGGCATGCATGTGCCCATGACACACAACTGGCCGAGGCAGGGTGTGGGTGTGGGTGTGGATGTTGATGTCAAGATACTGTTGAGGGGCTGGCACGTAGTGCAGTGGTTAAATGCTACAAAGAAAAAGCTGGATCCCACATGGCCAACCAGAGTTCGAATCCCAGATCCAGCAGCTTGAAAAAACATGATGGGTGCACACGTGTGCTATCTTTACAGGTGAATTGGAGGAGAAATGATTGCAGCATGACTAGGCCCTGTTGGGGGTAAGGTGGATGCACGTTCTCTCTCTCTTTCTCTCATGTGTGCATACATTCCCTCTGGCATGAAGAAAAAAAAACCAAGTCCTTCTGGGGGTGCTGTCTCTCTCTGTGTCTAATACTCATGGAAGAAATAAATAATTTTTTATAAGAGAGGTTTTTGCTATAGGATGTGTGCGCTTGCTAGAGAGACAGAGAGAAACAGAGACAGCAAGTGAGAAATCACCTCCCCCAGAGTGGATGGCCACGCCACAGTCCCTTTTCCTCCATTCTCCTCTCAGGATTTTGGGCACACTCGCACACGTGCCTGGTGTCAGTTTTAAGCTGCTGGGTCCAGGACTCAAACTGCAGTCGACTACATGGGAGTCCAGTGATGTAATCATTATGCTCTCTGCTGATCCCAGAAATAAATAACTTAAAAAAAGATGTTGAAAAAAGTGTAGTAGATAGCCATGAGCTGATCTGGAATAATAACCAAGACAAACTGAGTAAAAAGTATCGAGTTGATACTCAGTGGTGGCAAACGTGGGCATTGATAAGTTCCAATGGACACTTTTTAACAAAGGCTCGAATATTAAAAGGTATAGAAATGAAAGAAAGGGGCGAAAGATGAAGGAGGCGAAAAAGGAAAAAGGAGGAAGGAAAAGGATAATTAGGATTAAAGACAGAGTCACGTTTTTGCTATTTCCTTAGTTTTCTTTTTTTTAAAAGACAGGCTCTCTCACTGTCCCAGCTCTGCCTCAGCCTCCCTGCTGGGACTACAGGTGCCTGCCTCCTTGTCTGGCTGTTAGTCGGAGCAGAAATCAAGCCCAGGCCTCCAGCGTGTGGAGCAGTGTCTAAGCTGCGTGCTTAAGTGCTCTGGGCTGTAGACTTTTTTCTTAAAGAAATGCAATCGTGTGTAACTAGTCCATCCTAGTCCCTCCCTCTGCTCTCCAGGTAATCACTGCTCTGTACGCACTGGTTTATATACGTCCTGTATCCGTTTTTGCAGTTTTATTAGAAATACGTGTCCATACACAATAGGTGCTGCTTCGGCTTTTCTTATGTTCTTTTATTTTTAAAATTTATTATCAGTATTATTAGTATTTTTAAAATTTTGTTATAGACCCGTGTGCTCACCAGAGACAGACAGAGCGAGCGAGAAAGTGAGAAAGCAAGTTGCCAGGTCCAGGGCTCCAACTGCGGTGGGCTACGTGGGAGTCCAGCGCCTTCGCTGCCCCGCCACCTGCTGGCCGCTGCGCTAGCTTTTCACTGTCTTATTTGGACAGCCGCCCACGTTCTTCTTCCTGTGAGAGATCAGCTAGTAGAGATGGTCTTAATTCTGCTTCTCTCTTCAAAGGTATAGACATGGTTAAACGTGTGTTCTCCTAGTCTTTTCCTGAAAATTGGATGTAATTTTCAAAAACTACAAAGCCCAAATTGTCCTTCATACACATGGTTTGACACTTACCCCCTTTGCTTAAAGGTGTGCGTTAGTACAGAAAGTCCCTGCCAGCCCCATCTCACAGAACCACCGTGAGAGTAATACGTGATTTACACTTTATTTTATTGTTCTTCATTGATGGATTTTAGGTTGCTTTTATGTTTTTTTTTTTCTTATTTTGGAGAGGTTTTTGCTATAGGGCATGTGCACTCACCAGAGAGACAGAGACAGAAAGCGAGAAATCACCCCCCAGGGGGGATGGCCATGCTGCAATCCCTTCTCCTCCGCTCTCCTCTCGGGATCTTGGGCATGCATGCACATGCGCCCGGCATGAGTTTAAGCCACCGGGTCTGGAACTTGGACCGTGGTCGACTACATGGGAGTCCAGCGACATAGCCATTACACTAACTACTGGTCCCACTTTTATGTTGTTCATCTTTATAAACAACGGTGCTCTGAACCCTTTTGGGGTGATTTTTCTTCTTGCAAGGTAAGTACTGGAAATCAGAATTGCTAGGCCACCGGACGTGCATGTGTTGCGTTTCTTTGTTTTGTGAGCTTGCACACTTCTGATAGGCTTAACCATATTAGACTCTGCATCTTGCCAATGATTATTTACCTTTTTTTCCTTCTTCTCCGTAGGGTTTACTAGCATTGGGCATCAGTAAGTCTGTTCAAACACCAGATCCTTCTCATCCGTAAGGACATCGCCTTTTTTGTGTTTCTGTATTTGTTTTGGTAACAGGTCATTGAAATAAGAACAACTGAATTTGCTGTCTCCTGTAATTTATATACCTGCAGTTTGTTAAAAGTTTGATCATTACTCCACTATAGTATCTAAAATGCAGGACTCATCGGTGTGTCATAGTAAATTCAAGGTGTAATTTGAACATGGAGTTTTAATTATTTTATACTTTGTAACACAGAATGGAGATCTTGTCCTCTTCATTCTTGATAGTTAATAGCAAGTACATATTCTGATCTTGGAGGTCTGTTTGATTTGGGTCCAAGGAAACATTCCAGATTTAGATTCATGAGCTGCCCAACCTAGCATTTTGGCGATAATTTCTATAAATACATGCTTATTTTAATTAATTTAATCCAATTATAATTTAGTGTTAACAGAAATAGTATTCTGTTAATATTTAAAAATAATTTCTTTGTGGGCCAACTCCATGGCCTAGTGGTTACAGGAACCAGATCCCATAGAGCTGACTGTGCAGTTTGAATTTCATCCCCGGTGGCTTGATGAGCATGCTGGGTGCACGTGGGTGTCTCCAAAGGATGGAGAAATGGAGAAGGGATTGCGACTGACCATCCCCATTGGGGGCACTATCTCCTTCTCTCTCTGTTCATCTTTCTGCCTCCTCCTGGCTGGCACATGGTACCCTATGCCAGTAAGAATTATTTACAAAATGAGTATACTTTTTAGAATACAGTACTTTGAATTCTATCAGTTATTTGGTAGATTTTATTTTTTCTCTTGTTTCTATTGACATGACCATCTGAAACTTGAATTCCACATGGATAATATTTTTTTATAATTATTTTATTTTTATTTATTCATTCTTTTTTTTTTTTTTTT